CAAAAACGGCTGCTCAAATCTACTCTTACCACTTATACCTTGCAGAACAAGAATTTTTAAGTTAAATACAGACTGCCGCTTAAATGTGTGCAAGATACAACAATTTTACAATAAAAATGAGAGCAGTTGCAATTTTTGTATACTACACTGTAGTTTTGTAATTTTTTTTAATATGGGTTAGAAAAACAACATATGAATAGTAGTATCTTTATTTTGTAAATTTGTTATAATATTTTAATTAATAATAAAAGTTTGAAAAATAAAACAAAAATACATAAGAGGTGCCTATACAACATAATAAGTAAAAAGACAAAGTACATCTTGACATTTACATTGAATCAGAAACAAAAAACACTAAGTACTCAATATGTTAATCTACATCAGAAGATTCGTTGTGTTTTTAGCTGCCACCTGATTTATTTGTGCCTCTATCAATTCTATGGGATTTAACTCGCAGTGATATGGGGCAGCCACTACACAACTTTATTGGTTTCTTTAGCCTTTACATCGACAACATTCAAATTATGTGCATCTTTATGTTGCCAAATTAGGTGTAAAAGTTGATATCACTTCATATTTAAGTAAATTTAATATTTTTAGTTTTGTAACCATTCCTGTCAGATTTTCTTGTTGACAAAGGAATTTTTTCGACTATGATATGATATATTTTCCATGACAATCATAGCATAATTAGAAAACTTTGTAAAAAATGTAGAAAACCAATTCTAAAATACTTCGGATTTCGTCTCGTCAAGGTAAATGCATTTTCTACCAAATCTTCAGAATTAGCACGTATATTAAGGCACCTGCTTTTGGCTTTTCAGGCCTGTTGATAAACCTTATTATGATCTTCATCAAAGTAGAAGCTTGGTCTGTTTTATTTTCTATATTGTTTGATGGATTTTAAATCTACGTATATAGTGTTCTATCAATACACTTTGACAATTTCTTTTCAAATATCTAAAAAAATATATACATAATAAATAAACAGTACATTTGACTGGTCAAAGATACAAACTTACTTAGTTATTATATCTCAAGAAAGTATATAAAGATGAATAATATATTTGTGGCAAATCTAAATATTTCAATTCTTGCAAAATTTTATTCAATCTAGATAACTCATTTTTGAAAAAGAAATCGTGTACTAATCTTCGAATAGCATTTATCATCATCATAATCAAATGTTTTTAGAACTCCTCGTCTTCCATAAATACTTTTTAGACTAGATATTGTTCCATTATTGCGGTATTATTTTAATAATCGGTAAGTAGTTGACTTTGACCTGTAAGAAAAATATTGAGTATTTAATATTATTTTTAATTTGAAAGTAATGAGTAAAACTTACTGGTAGCTTGAAAAATTTTGGATATAACATCAACAATTTTGGTTTTCGTATTATTATTCAATACCTATTTGTACATATTTATTATTTACTGCTTTTCTGAGAGACGAATAGCCTAAACTCATTCGTTTTCGTTGTTTTGATGGACTCCGCGAGGAACTGTTATAATAGTATTCGATGTAGAAGGATACATAATCGTAAAAATTCAATACAATTGCTTACTAAAGTTTTGAAAAGAACTGTTATTAAAAAAATAAAATAAAAAACTAAGTAATAATGATGAGATATCAAAGCAATAACAAAACTTAAATTATAAAATGTCAGAATCGAAAATAGAACTGTCAACCCCTGTCAACAGTAGCTAAAAAGTGATGTGTGAAACTGACTTCAATCTGACCAATTAGAAGTCTACAGAATTGCCAACTTAAATTCAAATCGCTCCTCTTAGTTTAAAAACAGAGTATAGTAGTATTAGTTATTTTGTTATTAGTTTATTATTAGTACCTATGTATTATGTATTACCAGTTAAATAGTAAAATAAATACATATAATGATAAATTAACTGTGGATTATTTCATTTACGTTGCGTTACGTAGCTTCCGTGTGGGTAGCTCGCTGTTTATTCCAAAATTAACAAAGTAGCTTAACACATTGAGAGGTTGCAATCACTGACATAAGGAATGCATAGGCGGATTTTAGGAAAATTGTTATTAAAGTAGTTAGGATGAACCGATATTTCTGAAAATCAATAGGGTTCTAAGTTAGAAGTAATTATTCAAGAAAATCAAAACCGCAAGTCAATCATAACTTTCTTTCTAGAGTTATAGTGCCGGCATACATACATACATACAGATGACCAGACGAAACATTTTTTTTTGTATTTTCGGATTCTGAATGATCAGAAACATGGGGTTCAGAAAATGTTTTCATCTGCACGAATGCAATACTGAGGCCCTATAGGAAGGTCCTCAGTAATAGGGTGAGACTGATAACATCAATTTTATAGCATTGAACAGTAGTGCTCTTAGTAGAAATTGATTAATCTCGCCCCTGAAAAATTTCTTAAGCAGTTTTTCTGATTTTTACAAAAGGTGAGATTGATCATGCAGGGTTAAATTGATCAAACTGGTTTTATTGTTCTTTTATTTATAGGTTAAAAAAAACAACTCAACGTGTAATTCAGAACATGTAATATAATAAAGAAAATGAGTTTTAACATTTTTTTTATTATAATTTCTTCGCGGAAATGATCCTAGCAAACACAAAGTCAGTTAATTTGGTCCTATAAAAGGTAAATAATAGTAGTTTTACGGTAAGTGGTTATTTAACAGAAGTATAATGGGTAGTTATGAGTCAATTAATTTAAAGGTAATTTAAAAACAACAATATGGAAACATATGAGTTATTTAAAAAAATTAGGTCATTTAATAATAATTTTTGTGACCCTTAAATAACCTAGTTATTAAATAGTCATTTTAGGGTAAGTGGTAATTTAATGTCTCAATTAGGTAACTTAATCATAGTATAACGGTAACAAACAAAAATAATTATTGATGAAATTTAATTTTTTTGCGTTAAATTACTTACTATTATGCTACTATAAAAAAAAAGTTCAAGTTAATATCAACGAATATTTTTTGTGTTTTCTACCCATTGAGAGATCAACAGCTAAGGAATTGTCAGAGGTTTTACTAGAAGAGCTAGAGAAAAATAGATTTAAAGTAGAAAACATGCGCGGTCAAGGGTATAACAATGGTTCCAATATGAGAGGAGAATAATCGGGAGTACAAACAAGAATCATAAATATAAACCCCAGAGCATTTTATGTTCCATGCAGCAGCCATTCGTTAAATTTGGTTGTAAACGATATGGCAAAATCCTCGTTTGAGGCAGCCAACTTCTTCAATATTGTTCAAAAGTTATATACATTTTTTCTTCCTCTTCTTTTCGTTGGGCAATATTACTGAAATATATTGATACTTACACCCTAAAACCATTAAGTGATACGCGATGGGAAAGTCGAGTCGTCTCATTAAAAGCTCTGCGGTTGCAAATTGGTCCAACTCACGATGTTTTGTACAGCATATATGAAGATTTAGAAATCGATAATATGATCAGAGTCGAGGCTGGCGGATTATTAAATAAATTGAAGTAGTTCAAATTTATATGCTCTGTTGTGATCTGGTACAAAATTTTGAGTCATATTAACCCCATCAGCAAACTTTTGCAAACTGTAAATTTTAATATGTCACAAGCTATTGATATGCTTAGCAACTGCAAACTCTTCTTTGAAAACCTGAGATCAGATGAAGCTTTTGAAAGCATAATTTTGGAAGCAACCGAGCTTGCTTTAGAGATTGACCTGGAAGCTAATTTCGAAACCACTACACCACGTCATCCTGTCAGAAGCAAAACATAAACGTTTTTGTGTGAGGGATCGGATGAACCCGTTCAAGACCTTAAACAAAAATATAAAATAGTTTTTTTTTTGTCACTATGGATCAAGCAATTAATGCCTTTGAAACCAGATATAATTTGCTAAATACTTACAGTAAATATTTCAGCTTTTTGTATAATATTTTTGGTCTAAAAGACATGCTCAGAATTGAGCTACTGGTTCATTGCAAAGATTTGGAAGTAGTTTTAAATGGTGGAAATTCAAGCGATCCTAACGCCCTGGAACTAGCCGATGAAATAAGCATTTTTTCGTCATTATTAACAAGAAAGGAAACCCCGTTGAAGTTCTCAAGTTTATCGCTACACTTATATTCGCACCAAACCTCAGCATAGCATTAAGAATCCTACTAACATTGCCAGGTCACTGTGGCTTCATGGGAAAGAAGCTTTTCAAAACTAAAAATAATAAAAAATTATCTCAGAACAATGCAGACGCAAAGTCGTCTCAATGAATTGGCAATGATAGCTATAGAACACCAAGTTAGTGATAAATTAGACTTGAAATCACTGGTTCGAGAGTTTTCTGAAAAAAAAGTTAGAAAATGGGCATTTTCATTACTTTGGTTAGTTAGAATTTATTTATTATATGGGATAATAGTTTAGTTAGCATTACTACATTTTAATTATTGTTATTTTGTCTTAAGTACTAAATTGCTTATCTTGTTATCTGATTATTGAGTTTTTAATAAAGTTTTTTTTTTATTTTTTTTTAATGTTTTTTTGACTTTGTGATATGGTCTCATGAGAATTACTTAAAAAAAAACGGGGGGGCGCAGAATTAAAGTTTTTGCCCGTAGCGCCAAAATGTCTATGGGCGGCCCTGCTCCATGGGATACCATTATCTTTTAGTCAGCGTAAGCAGACTGAAATTTCTTTCCTACATTTAAGCTATACCAATTTGATACATTCTTATTTTATTTATAGAATGGACCTCCTCCAATTTTGATGAATGGAATACAAAACTATCTGTAAATCATATTTTAACCAAATGTAACAAATACAGGCTAGAACATTTAATGTGAAACATGCCCACCGACTATACAAATAAAATCTATTATTCATTAACTTACTTTATAAATTATAAACAGTCTGTACTTAAATTTAATCATTTATTACTGTAATGCCATATTTTGTTTGTAGTTGAGTCGCTAATTACCATTTCGTGAAAGTAAAAAAAATATGTTTCCTTAACTCTTACCTCTCTCAGGACTCTTCTTGCTACGATTAGCAAAGAACATTAGTACTTTTACCGATTCACACTGGACTTTGTCATTCAATGTGTTCCGCAAAATAGTAATTTCTCTTACTCGGCAAAATTCTTTGTTTGTAATATTTATACATTACTGAAATACCAATAAAAAACTTTTAATACAATTCTGAGGATAATTGTAAAAAAGTTTAACTAAAAGGTATCCCAAGAGCAGGATAAACTTAATACAGATATCTTCCTGTGATGGATCACTAAAAAAGTTAGGGCTATCAAGAGAGATGATCAGACATTTTTTTGATATATTATCAGAAAGAAACAAAGTTGAAAAATAGGTAATTGGAAAAAGAGTAGTAATGTATGTATTCCTTCAGATCGCTCTTATATAGGGTGTTATTGAAATACACGTACATATTAAAATGGGGAATAGTATGTAATGACCAAAAACGATTGGCACCAATTTTAACTTCAAATTCTAAAATTTAAATATTGGGGAAGAGTCCCCTTTTCCGACCTACTAGTTTCCATATTTAAAGAAGTAAAATAAATCGAAATTGAACTTACCCATAGAAATTGCACTGTTGCCGTAGCAAAACCAATTAATTCAAAATAAAGTTTATTACAGTAATTGTTCAAAATGCCGTCCATTATTATTTTCACACACTTGCAATCATCTTTCCAAAGAACTTTGAACATTAGAAATTAGTCTTGGATTTTGTCGTAGTTCCTCGGCTACCGCATTAACTTTATTGGTTAATTGTTCAACACTATTAATAGGTTCATTATAAACCAGTTGTTTCATGTGACCCCACAAAAAGAAATCGCATGGATTTAAGTCCGGAGATCTCGGAGGCCACTTAGTAGGTCCATTTCTGCCTATTCACTTTTGAGGAAATCTTATGTTCAAAAACTGCCGTACGTTTAAATCAAAGTGAGGAGGAGCGCCATCTAGTAGGTACCACATCCGTTGCCTTAATTGTAACGGTATCTCTTCTAGGAGTACTGGCAAAATATCTTCTAAAAAGTGGAGATATCCTGGCCCATTTAATCTGTTCGGGAGAACATAAGGCCCGATTAAATACTGATCTATTATGCCAGCCCAAACATTTATTGAAAATTTTCTTTGATGCCCAGTTTCCCTAATGGCGTGTGGATTTTCATCACTCCAAATATGCGTATTGTGCATATTGAACACGCCATCACGAGTGAATGAAGCCTCGTCAGTATAAAATAATATTTTTAGAAAATCAGGAATATCAACACATTTTTGAATCATCCATTCACAAAACTCCACTCTCTTTTCTTCATCACCTGGATATAAGGCCTGGACTTTTTGGATGTGATAAGGATGTAAACCTTGTTCTTTAAGTGTCCGCCACACAACAAATGAGGACACTCCAATTTCAAGACCTAGTCTTCTACAACTTAATTGAGGCCGGTTTTCAACAGCTTCCAATATTTCTTCTTCGGCCGCCAATGTTCTTTGTGTTCTTGTTCTCCCTCGATCTGCATTGACACTCTCAAATTTTCCATGGTCTCTTAGATGCTGAACAGTTGAAATAAACGTACGACAGTCCGGAATTCTCCGATTTGGAAACCGTTCGCGATACAGGATTTGTGCTTGCCGAGAATTTTCTCCAGCTGCCCCATAAACCAGCACTATATCCGTTAGTTCAATATTCGTAAATAGTGGCATCGTAAAAAAATATTTAAAAGTAATCGTAACAACACTTTTTACCAACTTGGAAATGACGCGCTCGTGTTAGCCAGATTCGTAAATCAACTAAAATTTTAATAATCTATAGTTTCAAAAATGTATATTTTAAAAACAATCATTTATCAAATATTCTAGTTTTTTGATAACGAGGGTAGTAAAAACCAGTCTTCGGAAATAGAAATTAATTCGAAAATCTTGGCAACATGGTTATTTCTTACAAGACTAGTTTTCTTATCATCTGACAAAAACTTGCATATTAATTACTGTTGATGTTTAAAATAGGTAAATAAACCTAATTTATATAGGTCATCCTCAACATATCAGTGAAGTACGTTTGTTTTAGGGGGGTATTTTTAAAAAATAATATTTTTCTTCATTCAGTGGGGATCTGCGCAATACCCAGTTTTAATATGTACGTGTATTTCAATAACACCCTGTATAGAGTAATATTCACTTAACACCATAATAAAAGTCAAATATAATAATTAATATTATAAATATTGTTGCGTATTTATAAATAAAATCAGTTTTTGGTTATAAGCGCTATCCCTCGAATGGTGGATTTTATTATTAAAATTTATAGACAATGAAACACCTGCACCTACACATAACAATGTTGGGTCAACCGATACTAAAAAAAATATTGTCACGCAGCAACCTACAGTATCCTGTGGCTGTTACAGGAAACGTGCGAATACAAGAAGAAGTGCAATGTTACTCATCGCCCTACAGTGTGCTGCGGTCGTCATGAGTAAAATTACGAGAAAAAAAAGATAGAATAGTTGAGAAATGTCTGAAAATGTCATTACTTATCGAGAAACATCTAGACGACGTTCGAGAAGGGTCAGGCAAGCTACATAAATCAGTGATCCTGACGTCAAGAGTTAGTTTTATGACAGACGTTATATATGTTAATGTTATTAGTTGTATAATTATTGTAAAAGTTGAGTTGGAATAAATTGAGATACCAAAAATTTGCGTAACAGTATTTTACCTTAAAGGGTTCAATCCAATATATACCATTAGAAAATGTTAATTAAATTATTTTAATTTATTTCTTGTTAGAAAAAACTATCCATAGAGCAATAAGCCATACAACATTGTATTCGTAAACGATAATACAAGTAAATCTTTAGTTTTTGCTCGACAAAAATTTGGTTAAAAAAATAGGAAGTATTGTTCATTTATTGATAATATGACAGTTGTCATTTTAATAAAAGTGGCGTTACCAAATACAGTAAGAAAAATACATGACAGGAAGTAGGTCAAAGCGAAGTCGAATGATGTTTAAAAAAAGTTCACGGGTTACGAATCAATCCGTCATGGCTCCAGGCCATATGTTACAAGACCTATAGCTATTTTGTAGTAACCCGCAATGGCTCCAGGCCCTATGTGTCTAGGCCATATCAACGGTTTTAACGTAGACTCAACTGTGGGTACACATTAAATCGGTTTACTGAAACAGTAGTCTGTATAATTGTGGTTCATTGGTTTACTAGCTACCTGGCTTACTAACAGCTATTTTTATCTGGATAGGAAGACAGTGATGCAACGGAGACACCCTAATATCAGGTTTTTTATATTATAATGAGGAATTCATATGTGCACTTTGCTGCTTAATTGCTAAATTAAACATCCACTCTTTATACGAATGTTTCTAAAGTATTCTCAACAATATTTATACTTCTGTACACATAATACAATACACTACTGGGTTTTTCTATTAATAACTATTGTGTTACTAAATATAAATTCATAATTTAATAATTAATTAAGCACTAAATAGTAGCCTTAGATAAAAGAGACCGGAGATGTTACATTGCACATCGCGCACGTTGTCTATTCCAACCCTAAGTAACCCACCAATTAAAAATCATTGTGTTCACGACGCCACCCGAATAGGTCCGAAATTTCTATGCTATGCTTGTCTCTGCGTGAGTAAATCATTTATGGACCGCCGTTTTTTGAATTATTTATTGGTGTTATTAACAATTTACAGTGTTTTAGTTATTCAATTTCAAGTTGAAATTGCCACGATGTATGGTGAACAATTTATAATTGTATATACAAATAATATAAGTGTCAATGTTTATTGAAAATAATCTTTTTTTTTTAGAAAAATCCATTTATTGTTTAATTGACTTTTTAAATTAATCCATTAATATCGATTTACCGAATATTTTTCCAAAGTATTCGAATAATTTGTTTTAAAATACAAAAAATTGATTATATAAAAATAATCGATTGATCGAATATAATCGGTTATATTATATAATCCATATTTCGGTTATTTTTTAGAATTATCGATTTATCGATCAATCAGCTTTTTATTAATTATTTTCGATTTTTTAAAGAAAATTAAATAATCAATTTTAAAAGGAATAAGAAAAAAGAAAAGGATTATTTGTAAATAATTCAGTTATTTTTTTTTTTTGGAAAATCCATTTATCATAGAATCAGCTTCTTAATTAACTGGTTATTTTCGCTTAATCGGTTATTATTTTCGATTAACCGAATATTTTCAATTAATCAGTTATTTTAAATTTTTCAAAGGTATTTGAATAATTTGTTTTAAAAGAAATGCGAAAAAATAGATTATATGAAAATAATCGATTAATCGAATATAATCGGTTATTTTATATAATAGATATTTCGGTTATTTTTTAGACTTATCGATTTATCGGTCAATCAGCTTTTTATTAATCGATTATTTTCGATTTTTCAAAGATAATCAAATAATTAATTTAAAATGAGATATGAAACTTTTAAGTTTGTTGTATTTTTGTTTTGGCAAACAGATTAGTTTCTTAAATGTAATTTTGTAAAATTATTAATAATATTTGGGATAATTGGTAAATTTATTGTAAAGGAACATAAGTTGAGGTTTGTCTTTTATTTATTTCCTCATTTACTGGGTTTATGGGGAAATAGGAACATAGCTTGGCCACTATAATAGACCCAGTTGGCGCTCTTCATTTGTCTACTATTTCCGGAATTTTTAATAGCTATCTCAAAATTTTATTGATAAAGGTTTTTTTATATTTAAAGTTTAATTTTAAACAATTCCCCTCTGGAAGTTGCTAGGACATATTGGTAGATTACAAGTGCTCCACAGAACTAAAAGTTGTAAGACAGACCGCTTAGCCCAGCGTAAATATAAGGCCTGTTGTAGATATTTTTCCTATTATTGTATTGTAACAATTGGTGAAATCTTTCTGTATATAATAATATTTGCAATAAATTAAATTGAATTAAAGTAATTTGTAGAGAGGGTACCTTTCATGAATGAAATCATATAACTGAATTATAGGTATTTTAATTCGTTGATAATTAAATAATAAATCCTGGTAATATTCACTCTCGCCTACCTATATTATTAAAATGCGATTTTAGCGCAAAAAGTAATTTTCATACAGAAGATTAATTTTCATACAAAGGCCTTTTCTTTAAGCCAAATAACAATGCAGCTTTATTTCCGTGTCCCAACATAATAAGTGATGGCTTTCTGAACAATAGCTGATTCGGCTTTGTGATTTTCCGCTTTTAAGCCGGGACAGTTTACCAGGTGTTGGCTATCATGGTCCGTTTAGTCAAATAGTTTTGCTTCATGTCATAAGATATACTTAAAGACTTATTTGCTGAAAATTTCTCGTCTCTATTTTCCTTTCACCTGAATAAAATCGCTAATCAACTATCAAACTTTGCAACCAATTTTGTAAAACATTTCTATAAAAAAAGTAAATAGTTTTACTTCAAACATTATAATAATATTACACGGAAAAAAATGTGACTAGAAAATTTTACTACAATGTTGTAGTAGTAGACTTGTAGAAAAATACTCAACAATTTGTAGAAAATTTTACTACAATTTATAGGTAAAAACTATTCATTATTGTAGCAATTAAATTGTCGAATAAAATGCTACAACAATAGGAAATAATTCCACAATGTTTAGTATATTTTACTATTGTTTGTAGAAGTAGAAATTTATCACAATTATCGTAATTACTACTACTAACTTCTGAAAAAAATTGTACAAATATTAATAATTATCTCTACAAAAAATAGTAATAATTTACATCCCTTCTTATCAAAAATATTCAATTTTGTTCAAAAATATTCTATAATATTGTAGAAATTCTAAGTCATGTGAACAAAATAGAATTCTGCTATTGGCCAACGTTTTCTGACGTCGATCATAAATGGCCAGACAGCAGTAGCCGTTCGCCATGTTCACATAAGAAATCATGGACATATACGAATACCTATAACACATTATTATATTATAACCACCGATGCGTTTGAGAAAATTTTAATAATAAATTCTATTGGTGGTAAGTACATTTATTATTGTTTCTAAATAATTTACCTATAGATAACTAATTTAAATAACCTTAGTAGATTATTTAAAAAAAAATAGTTGTGCCTAACGATCGAATGTTGTGCCAAATTTAATGAGGTTTTTTTGTCTTAATTGTGACATACCTACTTTCTCATTTTTGTTAGTTATCTGACTCAGTCATTTAATATCCAAATCAGTGTAAAGGTGATAAATATCCCCGTTTTAAGGGTATGAACAGTTCAATTGTTATTAATTTTTATTTCATATTTTCCAGGTGCAGAAAAGCCAACTGAGACTGAGGGTGCTATTATTACTGTTATTTATTACATAATGTAATTAAGACTTTGTATCTTTTATATTAAAACAATAAATTGAATATTTTATTAAGGAACATTTTTTTCTAGGTTATAATTATAATAATTATGGAATACTACTACAAGTTTTATTAAAAATTACTACAATTTGTATGAATTTTTACTATTTATTGTGTAAAATTTTGGTATTTATTTTCATAAAACGTAATACATTTTTAATATAAATTCATAAAATGAATAGCAAAAATTTTAACAATTTGTAGAACAATTCTTATGATGAATTTGGATATTTTTACTAAATATTGTAGATAATAACTCTACAATACATTCTCTACAAATATTTGGAAATTTTTACAACAAATTGTCCCTGTCCCTATTTGTACTATTTATTGTAGAGAAAAAATCTACAATTGTAGAAATTTGTTCTACAATTTTTTTTCCGTGTAATACTGGTGCAGAACACAAAAATTTTTGAGAACATTTTGTTCGTTTTTTGGGTCTTTTGCGACCCCGTACGATTTTTTTTTTCACTACACGATATTAAAAAAAATGTATTTTTCAAAATTTTTTTCTTTAAAACGTCCCGGCACATTCTGTTTCTTAATTTTGAAATATCTTTATCGACATAATTACAAGGACTGACAAGGAGGATTCGGCAACATGACGGCCGGCTGTCATGTGGGCTGATATTTAAATGGTGGCACATGTTGATCAAGTGATAATGTATTAGTTATTATGTATTTCATAATTTGTACATGTAAGCCACAGAGAAATATAAACTTATTAACCAAAACATAAAACACAATTCGTCCTAAATCTAGTGTTTATTTTAACGTTAAACAAAAACGTATCAGGTATCAGCGTTTTAGTTCTACATTTAGTTCTACACTGTCGAGGTGAGTAATGAAAATTGTCATTTTTAATTTGTCATTTGTTAGCAAGCTTGCAAGTTATTATAATTTATATAGTGAAATCTAAAATCATTAACCTAATAACTACTAGTGACTCCTTTGATATTTATCTTTTTTTAGGAAATTATACATAAACGATGATATTGAATAAGTCATTTTCGGATGAGCAATAACGAAAGTTTTTGTTAATCAAAATAATAAATTACTTTGCTACTGTAAAACATGAGCGCTGAGTACTCCAAGCTTTATTATTCCTAGGCAAATGGCCCCAAATCGTTTGAATATCTGTACTAAGCTGTGATATCGAAGAACAAATGATGAACGTTTACCAAATATTAACAAAAATGTAAGTTATTCAGATTGTCCTCTGCTCTTACCGGAAAACAATATAAGAATTTGATGGAATGAAAATTTTCTGTCAATGGGCCAACCCCTATTGCTACCAGTGATAATCAACCCGTACTCCAGAAATACAGAAGAAATAGCAGAAATTAATTTAAAAGATGAACCTCTTAATGAAATTCATTTAATTCAAGCGAGACAGAATAAAATAAAACCAATAATATTGCACCACATCAAAAACAATTATTCACTAAATCCTTTAAATATTATAATGTATTTATTATTAGGAACTGTCATAGTTTATGCCACCATTAAATTTATTAGAGATAAGAAAAAACCAAATTTACCGACATCCCAAGTTAAAAAAGAAGAAGCTATAGAAGAAAGATAACCACTTGAAGCCCCCAATCCAATTCCAAGGGCATTTTTCACTCCGTAAAATATGCCAAGGTCCAAGGGTGGAGGAGTTATGATCGATGACACCATATACCTTTTACAGGAAAACGGTATCTAGTTGCCGGCAGTGTTAATGAACCTATGTGAACTCTGTGGGAATTGCTGATTTTTTCTCATAGTAACATTTTAATAAAATAAAGTCAGTCTGATATCATAGCTTGTAACGATAACAATATCATTAAATATTTAATATAATTTATTTTGGGTTTTTATTCAAGCAATAGTAATAAAAATTCTTTTTAAAAACATTCCTCTCAACGAGAGACTTATAAGTCACGTAAATAAACAAACATCCTACTTATAGGTAACAAATGACAGGCGCGCGAAAATTAATTTGAATCGCGATTCTGTGTTACGCATGTTGCCATATTTAAAACTTGGTTGAACAATTTAGATTTTAATAATAAATCTCAAACTTTTCCAGTTCTTAGATTTTTCAGTTAAAAATAGGTAAATATTCGGGCCTTTTCAGACTGATGTAATAGTTTTAAAAATATTAGTGATTTATTTTACTTATTTTTTTTTTATTTCAAAGAGATTTCTTGCATTAAATATGTTTTATTTATTAATAATTTTAGCCGTCCATATACACCCTAAATATAACGTAATATTTTACGCAATGGAAATTCATTTTAAGCTTACAGCCGATTTTTCAATCGTACATTAAAATCCTTATTAAGTAATTGTTACTTAAAGTTAAATTGTAATTAAAAAATAAAGTGTTTTTCAAGCCAATTCAAACTGACAATTAACTAATGTCAATTTTAGCATATTTTTTGTAAGGTTGGTATTGAATTTTTGTAATCTTTAGGGATTATGAACATTTTGAACCATATTAAACCTATGAAGTTTATTTGACACATACAAATTTCAAACATATTTTAAACGAGTGAGAGAATGGAAAAAGTGTTATCACAAAAGTAAGTACTTACGGTTCTAAAGTTGAATTAAAATGTACTATTAGTATTATTTCATATTGTAGACAAAGAAAAAGAGCTACAAACTTCAGCAAGGAAGAGGAGCATTTGCTTGTTGCTCTGGTGGGACAGTATAAAAATACCATAGAGTCAAAAAAATCTGGGGCCTTTAGTTGGAAACAGAAAGAAGCGGTGTGGAAAAAATTAGAAAAAGAATTCAATTGCAGCAATACGGCAACATCTTATAAAGATGCGAAGACATTAAAAACTAAGTACTGCAATATTAAACAAATAACGAAGGCCAAATTTGCCGAAAATATAAAAAAAATACATAAAACTGGAGGTGGAATATCCTCGCCTGTTCATTTTAGCGATATAGACTTAGCAGTAAAAGATTTAATAGGAAAGCAAATAGACGGCCTACAAAGTGAATTTGATTCTGATGCTGATGCAATAAAAGGTGGGTAATTAGAATGTGTGCATAATTGTATTTAATAATTGTGTTTTAAGGCTTATGTGAATCTGGTGATGCCTCAAAAGTAGGTGTATCCAATTTGGAACTACCTGAAGATACCCAAGAGTTTATGTCATTGGATAACGGTAAACACAATTACTTCAATTCAAGTTTTCAAAAAGTTTTATTTATTTGTTTTTTAGATAAAGCAGAGAAAGAAGTTGATGCCGAAGGTGATAAAGAAACAGACGAAAATGATTGGTCAGATTATACAACGAAAATGCTTAAAAAACCAGTGACCTCTAAATTACAGCAAAAGAAAACCCACCACTTTTATCCAAAAAAATATAATACTATTCAGAATAAGTTAATGGAAGAGAAACAAAATTTTTTAAAGTTACAGCACAAATCATTTTTAACAGAACATCAAGAGAAATTAAAACTGATTAAATTAGAATGTGAACAGAAGACTGAATTATTTCAAAAAGAACTTATTCTAAAAGAAAAAGCAATGCAGGAACATGAATTAAAATTGCAATTATTAGAAAAACAAATGTTGTTACTCAATAAACAAATTGAGAGTTTGGAGTTGTAATGCTGATTTAAAACAACTAGTTTTTTTTACGTTAAAATTTTGGATTAGTTTGAGATATTAATTTTGTATGCTGTTGTAAATATATATTTTTTTAAAAATATAGTTTTTATTCGAAAATTGTATAAAAGTAATTAACTATACTAGTGTTACATAATAATTGTTAATTAAATGTAATCTTGTCGTGTTATTTATATCAAATAATCTAATACCACCTTCTTCTCTGTGGTTTGCTGCTAGACCTTGGATTAATGGCATATTATTGACTAGTTGGATGGCAGCTTCTTGTTCTTGGTTAACTGGTGGTACATCTTCTCTTTTTTTGCAGGCAATATTATGTAACACAGCAGATGCAACAATAACAGTTTGTGTGTTTTGAATTCTGAGTCTTAAACCCATGGTCAATGCAGGAAACCTTCTTTTCCATACTCCATATTGCCTTTCTACTACGTTTCTGGTTCTTATTTGCTACTCATTAAATAATCTTTCTACTTCATTGTGAATCTCATTCAATGGTGTAATCAAATATTTTTTAATTGGGTAACCACTATCTCCAACTATCAAACTGTCACCAAACATTCTATTTTCAAATAACCGATATATATATATTCGAACTCCTAAAAATATGGCTTGATCCTGGCCATCTTGCAACAATGTCTTCTATTTCGAGATTATAATTTGAAATGGTTTGGACATTTATTGAGAAAACATTCTTTCTATTTCGGAATATTTCCGCATTATCTCCACCTGGTGATTGAACTCTAATGTGAGTGCAATCAATTGCACCAATGCACCCGGGAAACCTTGCAATCTCAAAAAATTTCTGTCTTATGTATGATACTTCTTCTAGAGTTTGAGGCATTTTAATATATTGTGGTCTTAAGGAAGCAATAGCTCTTGAGACTCGTTTAATGGTTTTACAAGCTGTTGGTCTACTTACTCCGCAAAAGTCACCAGATATTTTCAAAAATGACCCATTTGAAATAAAACTTAAAAATAGCAATAACTGGTTTTCTGGTGAAAGACAATCATTTCTGAAATAAAAAGCATTGTAATACACCTTATTCATCATAATTAAAACCTGTACAAACCTGTTGGTGGGATATTCAATATTGTTACGAATTTCATCTAGTACATTTTGTACAGATCTTTTTGAAAGTCGAAACCTATCAAAAAAATATTTTTCGTCAAATTCTTCAAAAAAATGTGGTCTGTTTCTAATGACCTTCTAGGTTCATCATCGCTAGAATACGCATTTATATCGTACCAATAAACCATAATCACAGAAGTAAATACCAGTATTTATAAATTTTACTGTCACTTTCAAAAAAATAGGGTTAGAAACTTATAATTAATTCGTTAAAGTATACTTTTCTGTCCATTAACTTAATTCAAAGTTAAGTTGTATTTAAAATTTAATGAACAATTTAAAAACACCTTATTTGTCCTAAGTTCAAATTAACTTTTAATTGACATTTAATGAACTATTGAAAAACCGGCTGTTATACTTTTAATATAAAAACAAATTCTTGTTTTCCTCCCTTAGATTTTCAAGTTTTTTTTAAATATAAAAAAATCATGAGAAACCCAAAACATCCATTTAAAACGATACTTTCCTTTGCATAATTTGTAAGGAAACAACAAAATGTTCTAAAAAATAATTCTAAGCTCGCGTGGTATTTGGAAATAATAATTAACAATATTAGTAGAACATTTAAGGACGGGGTATCCCTGTGTATTAAAAGTGTATGTGTAGACCAAAAGTTAAATCGACAGTTTTCCGAATATGTAGTGTTTAAAAATCTAATTTTTGGCCAAATTAAAAATAAAGGTCTAACTTAGGTCACCTTACTATTGAAAATTAATAAATTTATTATTTTCAATAAAAACCAATAATGTAAAATAACCCCCTTTTATTTCATCTCAAAGGTGCCGTGTAGAATTATTTTAACCTCGATGTCAAACAAATAATAAAAAAAAATGTAATACGACCTAAGTTCAACCTTTACTTGGAATTTGGTACACTCAGAATATTTAAATATTGTATATTTTTCAAAACGTGTAGATTTGAAATTTTTAAGTCACTTTCTTTGAAAAAACATGTCAAAACGAATTTGGACCAAAAATGGCGTCTAATTTAACTCTAAATGAACCCCGAAAAATCAATAATTAGCTCATGTAATGTAATAAAGATGGTGCTCCGATCGATAATATTTTGACTAGTATTTGATTATTTCCGTTTATATTATGTGTGTTTACGGGGGATATACGAGATGATAATACTGCCTCTGATACTGTTTATATGATACAATTGGAAACGACCTTTTTTCATCGGCACTCTTTTTTTGCCGGTGACCTTTTGACACGCACCTATTTGTTATATGATGTATGATTATCGGTTATTTATCAACTAAAAGTATAGGAAATTAGTACATTGTGAATGATAATATCATTTTAATGCTATTTTTGAAACTAGTTCAAAAGTTGCATTTAACGATACTCAATGTTTCATTTTGCCGTCAGTTTTAGTTTGACATATCCGTCATTTTATGTTTACAAAGCTCAGTTTCTATTCGAAAGTAAGAGAAACAATCAAAATAAAATACGAAAAACACTTTTTATCAATTTCATTTATGTCAACTGAAAGTGATAATTGCTGAAGACGTAACAAATAAATTAGGTCGAGAAATAAAAAAATCTATACCATAAGTAACATACCATATATTATACCTGTTAAAATAAATCAAAAATAAGAGAACATATCGTTGACGTATATACTTTTCCATCTGTGATTAGTGATTACCAATTGCAAATTACGTATGAACATGCTTCTGCGCAAAAAAAAACCATTATTTCAAGTACTTGTATCATTAAAGTCCATTAAATTATTATTTTTATAAATTTGCTAATCTTTGCACTTTAAGTTTCATTATATGGGGTATCCAGACATTTTAATCCTCATCCTCTTCTATTTAAAATTATCTCAGGTGCCATATATTCCGAGTAAAATTTTTCTAATTTTTCAACCATATTTTAAAAAAAAATCTGATGTGTCCAACACATGACTTTCCTATCTAGTTATTATAGGCTTTTTCCGGTTATTTTGTACAACCTATTGCAGCATCTCTATAAGTGTTTAGAGGATAAACTAAATATATACATTGTCCACATACATCTACCTCGAAAAATTTTTCTATAGATATTCATTGCTTGTTTGGGGTTCTATGACTGCGGATTTTACATCCATTCGCCTATCTTTATCGTTTTTAGTCCTTATTTTGATTTTACAATGTTTTATTTTTGTGTAATTCCTACTAACTAACATTTGTAATATAAGTAAATTATATTTTTTTCCAATTTTTTTTTAAATCATATTTTTTAAATTCCCTTTTTTTTGTTTGATTTTTTTTTTTTTTTCCTTTTTTTTTGTTTTTTTTTTCTTTTTTTTTCTGTTTTTTTTTTGTTTTTTTCTGTTTTTTTTTTGTTTTTTTTTTCTCCCCAGAGGAAACATAAACAGGGACACATTTTACGCCTAACGGTCTTTCTAGACGATTTGTACAATAACATGGACGACCACGGTAAGTTTGAAGGGTTTGAACAAAGGTAAAATACAAAGGATTTATAATATAATTTTACATTTACAATTTAACATTAATATTTAACAAATGCGCGAACAACAGTTGGTATAGATCGGAATTATCGTTAATTGAAATTAAATAGCTTAAATTAATAGGTTGATGGATGCCTGGAATTTTTAACAATTTATCTAAAAATACATTTATTTCGTTTGTAAAATTTATGCAGCCTAGAATTATATGTTGTGTATCGCCAAACTCCCCACAGGAACAATTTGGGTTATCGTTCATATTAATTTTGTTCAAATGAGACGGTACAAGGGAATGGTTAAATCTTAATCTACATATAGATTTTACCATTGCTTTTGTGACTGTGATTTTAGAAAACCAAGGCTTGTCTAAAATATTTGGTTGAATATTTTTGTAATATTGACCCTTTGTATGATTTCTATGTTTATTAATCCATTCTGTTCTATATAGTTTAGCCATAACGGCTTTAATGTCGTCCGCTGTACAAAGGTATTGTGTTATGGTATCTAAGTCCGTAGCATTTTTGGCTAGTTTATCAACTTTTTCATTGGCATCTATTCCACAGTGACCTTTTACCCACGAAAAAACTACTAATTTTCCAACTTGCTTTAAAGCGTCAGTTTTAAGTATTATCTTAGCTTCGATATAATTTATTTTGGACCGCGGTTTTATATTGCTAATCTTTTCCAGTGCACTTTTACAGTCGCTAAAAATGACAAATTGAGTATGTTGTATGGTTGTAATATGATTTAGTGCTTCTAGCAATGCTAATAATTCTGCCGTATATATGCTCATCGATGAATTTAGTTTAAACATTTTGCTGTAGTTAGCATTTTCGTCGTAGATTGCACAACCAACGGATTCGCTGCTTTTAGAGGCATCTGTAAAAATATAATAATAATTCTTAAATAAGTTGTTAACGTCAGATTTAAAAAGACTGTTTCTTATAATGTTTGGAAAATTTATATAGTTTCTTAGGTAGTAAGTTTTAATTTTGTCTATTTTGTTAAAATCTATTTCGTATATTTTATTTGTTTCTGTCTTGTATAGGGAGTTTTCATATTCCTGTAGGTTTTCATAGCATTTAGCTAAGCATGGAGTTTTCTTCTTTATCCAATATTTGTTACATAAATCTGCTATGAATAATTCGTGTATCTTTGAAATAAGAGTGGATTTTTTTGCATCAATTGTTATTAAAAATCGGCTTGCTAAAATGTTTCTTCTAATGTTCATTGGATATTCACAGCATTCTACCTGTAGATTGTTAATGGGAGTACTTCTTAAGGCTCCAATCGATAGCCTAAGACATTTGTTAGCCACTACATCTATTTTATTAAGATGACACTGAGCAGCATCTGCATATAGAATGGAACCATAATCTATAATTGCTCTGATATA